GACCTACTGCCTCCCACCCAGGATCTACTACCTCCTAAGGGGTCAGCCCCACTGGGATTTGGACCCTTCCCAGGGGTCTGTGCCCCCTTGTCCCACGTGTTGGGAGAAGCCAGCTCCACAAACATAGACCTTGTGCAGGCTTACCACTTGCACAGCCACGATCTTCCCACCCTAAAACATCCAAGAGGGGAAAGCAACCCCGGCCAGGGGAAGGGCTGCCCTTCTCCCCTGCACCCTGCCAAGCTCCCCAGCTCTACGCCAACTGGCTGGGATACCAGGTTCTTCCCAATAAAGACAAGGCAGTGCTACCAACATTGCCCAGAGTGTGTTTAATCAGACCCACCTCTTCAAGAGGACTGCACAAATGAAAACTGACAGAGTCCTGAACCACAGCACAGTGACTGGAGGCAATCCAGGCTGCCTGGCTCTGTTTGTCCCATGAACAGGCAAAAGGATCCTGTGATCCCTGCACAGAAGCAAGGCAGCAGGACTCCACCCTGCCACCATGACAGAATCAGTAGCAAGATTTCAGCCCGGCCATGGATTTGCTTTCATCTGTGAACATCCTCTTTCAGTAGCCTTTTGACCACACAGCTGCCAGCACTGCGAACACCCGTTGCCCTCAGCTGCACAATTCCCACACAGGGGAACTGGGAGCCGAGGGGTTGAGACTTCATCATCTGCCTCCAGAGGTGCAGGTGGCTCCAGCTGCACACAGCTGTGCGAATGCAGGGAAGCCGGCAGCCCCATCCACCTGGCTGGCATCCCAGCAAACCCCGGAGCGCCTTGAGAGCCGGCCAGACCCCTAGTAAATGCCGTAGGTGGGCTCCTCGGTGTCTCGGTATCTGTCCAGGTACCTCAGAGGTTGGTGGCGCGGGAACTTTAACTGTGGAGGATGGTAAACGGGCGGTCGCACGAATTCAAACACAGGCTCTCTCATATCTGTAAAGGAGCAACGCAGAACGTTAGCAAGATGTCTCAGATCCAAACCCCAGGACTTCTCCTTCACCAGCGAGGGCCCCCACGCGCGTAAAGGCTACTCAAACACACCCTGGTGAAGGCCCTCTCGGCGTTATCTTACAATGCTCATACAAAACAGCCTTTTACAGGTTGTTTCCTCAGACTGCTGTTAGTTTGGTGGAGGATGGCTCAGTGAGTACCCAGTCTGCGCTGTAACAGATCCTAGACAAGTGCCAGGACCAAGGAAGAGCCTGCAGCCACAGCTCACCCGCTGACCTGTGTGTTACACGCAGGGGCCATGTCCCAGCCCACAAATGGGCCCCCTCCAGCATCCCTGCACGTTGTGTTTCTTACTGAGAAGCTGATGGAAGACCGAAGTAACGGAGCTGTCCCACTGACACTGGAAAAACGCCAGTCCTGCTGGGGTCATTGCATCCTCGTGCTTTCTGTAGAAGTCAAACGTGCTAAAGGTTCGCATCTTGAGGCTGTGGCTGGAAACAAGACACAAGCACAAGAGCTGAGGTGAACCTCTTTTCCTGCACCACCCTGGTAGGAAACTGCTTCTCCATATCACCCCGGAGTCTATAAAACAGAGGTGGAAGAGGAAATCACTGAAAGAAAATCCCAGCTTCTCCAGCTCTGTGCACATCTCTGCCCCAGGCAGGGCAAACCACTTTCTTAACAGCCTGGTTTGAAGCAACAGGACTTTGCAGGGCTGGGATTGTGGCTTCAGGTGACACACAAACTCAAAGCAGCCCTGAACCCTGCAGATTAAAAGGAACTGCTCTCCTACAGCAGTAAGGAGCATGCCGGCATAACAAGCAGTAACAGCCCTGCCAAGCGAGTGTGAAACTGCCCAGTGAGAGCCTGAATTACCATGGCACGGGCCGAACATCCTCGCTGAAATCTATGGGGCAGTCTTGCTTGAAGAGGAGAAAGATGAAGCGATGGTAGCCGGTTCCCATGGCAGGGAAGGGGGGTAAGTAATGACAGACCTCCTTGCCTGACTTGATGTCGTTGCCTGGGATGTTCGTCCTGAACACAAAGAAATTGACTTCACTACGTATCACTCACTTCCCCACATCAGGACCAGCAGACTCACCCAGGATTGCAAATCACTCTGTGCTGCACTTCGACGTGACTTATGCCCGTTTGACAAGCAAACGGGTAGTAGAGGCTGCTTTCACTGGAAGAAAAATCACACCCAGCGTTTTGAATGCCGAACAGCAGCAACGCCTGGAACTACTGCATCCAGAACACAGGGGTAAAGACGCTAATGGCAGGAGCACCAGACAAAGCCACGGAACTGCCTTAGCAAACAGTTCTTTCCCAAGCTCT